AAACAAACAAAAAAAAATGTTTAGCAATCAAGAGGTAACAAGGGGGATGCAGATTACAGTGCAATCATTATTAACATCTTGTCAACAGTTTATACACGGAAAACTGTATTCTAAACTGCTATCTTGTCCTTTCCACGGTATCCTTTACCCAAAGAAATTCCCAAGGCTCAATCTTGTGACTTCAAATAGTTGAATTCTGTGATTCTGCTCAACTGTAACTGACCAGAACTCAGAATCTAGGCATACAAAAGGGGAATTTCCACAGGAAATAATCCAAGTAAAATTATAGAGTTAACCTCTGCAACAGAGTCAAGGGCAAATGATCTTTCACATCATTCTAGGAACCTAGGTTCATCCTGGGTCATTCCTCTATCTGGGCTAAGTCTCACCCAAAACATTCTTGTTCCAGAAAAACTTCAAATTCATATCTGGAGTAACCAATGATTGTAGCCTACGGAATGACTGTATACAAGTTATATCTAATTCAGTCCATAGGCACCAAGACCTATCATGAAATAGACACTATTACCTGAATATAAACAGCCAACCAAAGACAGAAATATCTAGTCTTTAGTTTCTTGGAGTTATCATCAAATCTTCTCAGAAAGGCAAAAAGCCACCTAATGGAGGTATGATACAGATATACTACTACCCCTTAATTCATAAGGTCACTTCTCTTCAATAAATTAGTTTTAAAAATGTGTTTATTCTGTAAGTTTTGAAAATAGGAAACAGCCATTGGAAAGTTTTTATGGAGATACTAATTTAGATCAACATGTTTAACAACCATTTGGTGGCTGCTCTGGTAAACTATCAATTATATGAAACAAGAGTTAACAACAAAAGCAATTTAATGGAGTTTAAACAAAAAATGTCCTGTAAAAGTCAAGTGAAGAAAGCTAACAGACTATGTATGACCCAGTGACTACACTTCCATAGATAAATCTTAAAGAAATATGTGCAAGAGAAACAAGTGCAAAGATACTAACTTTGAAATTAAGAGCAAAAATTGGAAACATAAGTATTTATCAGTAGGAAAATATGTCAATAAACTGCTCTATGATGAAAAAATTTCAAATGACCATCATACAGGAGTTAAAAAAAAAAAAAGGAAAAAAATTACAGCAGTTAGAAATAAATGTTCATCTACATGTATCAATAGGGATCAAATTAAAAAATAAGAATAAAAAATGCACACAAATACATATATATTATACCATTTCTTTCTTTCTTTTGTTTTAATAGAGATGAGGTCTCACTATATTACCTAGGCTGGTCTCGAACTCCTGGGCTCAAGCTGTCCTCCCGCCTTGGCCTCCCAAAGTGCTGGGATTACAGGGAAGAGCCACCACATCCAGCCGTATTATACCATTTCTAAAAACGTTTAAAACTCTACACGAAAACAATTCAATATGTTCTAAAATGCAGAAACATTTACTGTTACGGCCACTGTTGCCTCAGAGGTAGGAGCAGAGGGGACTGCTCTCTACAGTTTGACTGTAGTTTAACACAATGGTTAAGAGCAGAGACAAGATGCTAGACTGGAGCTCATTTCTATCACCTACTTGGATGACACTATAACCTCTCTGTGCCTTAATGTGTTCTTATCTGTAAAAAAGGAAAAATCATTACCTAATTTATGAGCTTACTGTGAAAATTAAATGAGCTAACACATCAAGTGCTTAGAAAAGTGCTTGGCATACAGTTACACTATACATGCTATATAATAAGAAAGTTAAAGGCTGGGTGTGGTAGATCATGCCTATAATCCCAGAACTTTGGGAGGCCAAGGCAAGAGGATCACTTAAGCCCAGGAGTTTGAAGCCGCAGTGAGCTATGAATGCATCACTGAATTCCAGCCTAAGCAATAGTGAGATTCTGTCTCAAAAA